CCTCTTTGCCAGAGTTAAGTCCATCACCGGAGAAAGGTCGCGTACTATGGATCCAGTGTCGTCACCGAGGATCAGCCAAGCTGCGTCCTCGAACTACGAATCCGCCGCTGAGGATGAGTCAGATACGTCGTCCGAACCACGACGCATGACGTTCGGGGCAATAAATAGTAATCCCGGTCGACACAAGTAGCAATATAAATAATATAAAGTCAAATGTATTAAGTCAACTCGTGGTTTCCAGGCAAAGTTTACGACTGACCAAACGCACCTCACCAACAATGTCGAGCTCTGTTTAGTCGAACAGCACGTCACCACGTCCTTGGGTACGCTGTTGCCGGTGAAGTACCTCCCTTCGCTTCGCTGTCCGTCGCATATGTTGCAGTATTGCCGTAGTCAGTGTCGTCCAACCCATGGACCTTGTCCATCGCTGTAACGACAGGCAGTACCTCGGCCAAAGCCGCATCTTAGACGATGTATTCAACTGGTAGTGTTGCTCCCTCTCCACACTTCACGTACATGCGACAGGGTCAGGCCCCTAACTCGGACAACGGAAATCGACAATGTCAGAGCTGATTCGGGCGATCCAACGACCACTCATCCTCTTGACGTGCGACTTCTAGCTGATCGCAGGTCACTCCAGAGGGGGAACAAAAACCGTGCCCAAGATGGTTGCCACCGTTCTCACTCGGGACATCCTCCCTGACAGAATCTCTACGCCCTCGCCGCGCTCGCCTAGAAAAGTATTCCTTATCCGAATCCCTCATATTAGCACGCAAAGCCCGTCGTTCAGCTTGTATCCCAGTCAGCGTGCGTACTTGCTGTTGAGGCGTCTCCACAGAGCCTCCATCCGCTCCCCAGAATGCTCCGCTAAGACGGTTCAGCTTGCTCTCGTTCCTCCATGTCACGGCTCCAACAGTCGTAGCAGACCTGGGCCACAGCAAGCGGCGAACGTCCTTCCGACGTATACTCATACCGTCGAGTAGTATAGCCTCACAGTTAACGAGGACCCACCTAACCCCACGACGCCCCCATTACTCGCAAACGTGTAATCCATCGTCACCGTTAAGATCACTACCCCAGGCCACCCTACACAAACACCTTCGACGATTTCGTACAGGAACAGCACACCGTAGAAAGTAGCGTAGACGATCAGCGTCACCACGGTCCACCAGACAACTACAACAAACCACGTATGAGCCCACGTTCTTTGGAGCTCAGCACCTGAGCCGTACCAATACTTCACTGTCGTCTTCCACGTCAACGTCACCGCCTCAGGTAAGAACACGCACCAGTACGCATGCAAGGCGTCGAACCATTTGTACAGCAGACGCCCTTGACCGTCAAAGTGTTCTTTCCTCGCAGCGAGCACCACCATAGGAGAAGCCAGTACGGCTTCATAGGCCTTCCACCATTACGTCCTCCATGCCTGGTCTTGTACGGCAGGACTGCGCACAAAAAGCTGCAATAGCGCGTTATACAAAGTTTTAACATCTTAGCCCACTTGTATATGAGGTAATTGCCCAAAGATAAAAGTCGCAGGACCATACCTCTGAGAGGTTCGGTGACGGTCCAAGCCAAGATACCACTCCCCCCCCAGCGAACAACACCCACGCATGCCTGAGGTCCAGTCCCACGCCAAACCTACATGTCGACACGACAGCGTCTTGACTCCACGCCACACCATCTCTCACGTAATCCATCGCCCAATCTCGACAATCGAAGAATGAGTCCATCACCTCCACGGACCAACCGTTCTCCATCGCCACTAACGGTCAGTCCAATTCACTTGGCTCCGCACCAGCCAAGGGACCGTCCCTTGGTCAAGTCACCTCACCTCACCATCAAAACGGTGGCTTCACGTCGTTAACCACCATGTCCGTCATTATTACTGCAGCTCCCTGTCGCGTCGCAGGAGGCAGACATCCTAAAGATAATTCCGCAAGTAGCACTCAAGCCCCCACGTAGCCATGACCAAGTCATCGAAGAAGTCTGGGCGACCCCAACGGTCGAAGACCAACACCGCTCTCGCCTCGACGACGAAGACAAGACGGCTGACGACGCCATCCCTCTGCACTTCATGAATGAGTTGTGGCGCCGCCTCCGAGCCGTTCTGGCTACCAACAGCCACTCCGTCGGGCTCGACGCCCTTGACCGACAGTCTTCCGGCCCCTCGCTAACGACACTTTTCAGGCTCCGTTGGTGAGTGCTGTCGTTTTTTTGCCTTCCCCAGAAAGCATATCCGACGGCCAGGTCCGAGCGCACGCCGTCTTCCAAGCACCGGTCACCCAAACTCGTTCCTGCTCGCGTACACCTCTCAAGCCACCCCAGCTAAGAAACAGCGTACGTCCAAGCAGGCAAAAGCCAAGCTTCCCTTCTTGTTCGATCTACCGGCCGGCGTAGACACCACCATCGAGCGCGGCCTGGAGCGCCTCGTGAAGATCCTGGAGGGACAGGATAAGACGCCGTCTCTTATGGCCTTCCCGTGGAAGGGCTACCGCGTCTGGTACGACCCCAAGCACCACCCCGAGCTCCACCGGAAGCACTCGCGCTTCTGGATGCGTTTTTGGCTTTAGCTCCTACTTCGCGCGCTGTATCCGCCGCCTGACAACGCTGCCGCTCACCGCAAGTTGAAGGCAAGCGCGCTTTAAGCTCATCTGAAATTGTTGAGCGCCTTCTTCGAAGCGATGGGCTACTACGGGATGCTGACGGCGTTTAAAGAGACCCTCCGACAATCTTAAGTGGTTCGGAGACAGGCCTGCCAAGCACACTAGTGGAGCTAGCGACGACTCCAAATCTCCAGCCCAAGAAGACCTCGGGGTCCTGTTCAAGCGTCACCGCCGTCGGTACGGTCAAGTTATCGCCAACACCCTCGATTCCTTCGAGGTGGACAGCAGCGGCTACCGTTCCATCCCTGAACTTCTCGAGACGAGTCAAGCGATAGACCCTACGCGCCTCAAGAACCTGCGACGTTCGGACAAGGCCCTGGCTCGCGTCGCTCTGAACGTTTCTGGCAGGAAACCTCCGAAAGAGAGCTGGGTCGGCAACCGCAACCGTGGCCCGTGGAAGAAGCTTCTCTCTGACCGATCTCTCCGTGTGACTCAAGCCGAAGTCGCCACGCTGACGGCAGGCAAACCCGTGATAGTGCACAATGCTCGACCGTTCCAGACGTCCGAACAAGAGGATGACGATTCTGACTTCGAAGAAAACGGAGAGTTGACAGCCCTGCAACCCTCCCCGCCTGTCAAGTATCAGCCTTCACGTTCTCCCACTAAGCATCTAGCGTACTACCTGGGACTCTCATCCGACGAAGAAGCCCAGGAGCAAGAAGAGGGCCACCCAGGCAACGAGCACGACGACGAAGAAATCAATTAAAAAGGCCCAATAAGACACCAACGAAGACGCCGACGACCAAGATGACGAGGAAGACGACGAAGAGGCCGCAGGAAACCCCTCTTCTACCGATAACGGAGTGGCGTCCGACGCAGGTGACAAGCCAAGCAAGACCTCAAAGCTGTCGTCGGCTTCTCCCGACTCTCTAACTCCCAAGTGACGAGGTTACCATTGCTGAGAGGAAAGATTTAATGTTTCTCTATTTCGTTCTCGTAAGTCTGATCGTTCCGTCCATAACCCCAAATAATAAAATACTCACCAACACGCACCACCACCCTACTTCCGAGTGTCCGTCCTAATCTCCACAGAGAAGCCGTTCTTTGCTGACTCGAAAACTTCACCACTTCACTTATACGATAAGTAACACGTTCTTGTCGACTTCCGCGTTAGTGTCGGCCAACCGAGCATTTGTTCGCAGCTCAGGCAACCCATTTTTCTTTCTTTCGTCGTCTTCATAAGACATCACTAACCGGGCATAAGCCAGCATCAAAACCGTTTTGTAGCCGGAAGGTCTCGGAATTCGCAGCTAGAGCCAAGGTTTCGACGGCACGGCTCACAATCCGTTTTGCCACCACTTCCAGTAAAGGCGTTTCGACTCCTGTTAATATCATGTCTTCTCGACCAACCGTTAACCGTTCCACAAAACGTGTAGGCGGGAGGTCGGATTCATCCAGGGGTCCATTACTACTTCCTACTTCGGTCTCCTCAGCGCCAGGCGGTACTTCATCCAGGAACGGTCGAGTCCATTTACCTCGATACGTTTTGAGTCTGTTCACATTCACGGTTACCAGCTTGTCAAGATGAGTGGAAATTGCAACCTTGCTAGGGTTCTCCCCGACTTTGCTAGAGACTCAGTAAGGACCATGCCACGAGAAATCGAGTTTCTTCGTCCTCGTTTCACCTCTCCTAGCCCTGAAAATCTGGTACACCCAAGCGGGATCTCCGGCCTCGTTCGTCGTCTCCGCTTGATCCTCCGGCCGCCTAGCGTGCCTGTTTTGAGCCTTCAAAAGCTGACGTTTTACTAAGTAGCGAGAGTCACGCATCGAACGGTACAGTTCCCTTAGATACTGGCCACTTCGTTACTCTTCTATTTCGCTCCGAGGTTCAGAAAAGCTACGTCGAGTGGTAACGCGGGGTCCCGTCCTTACAAAGGGAAGAATGGGGAGTCTCTAAGCGCTTTCTGGTAGGCGGTACGGTAGGCAAACAACACTCGTGGCAGGTAGACATCCCAATCGTTCTGAGCTTCACTCACGTGCATCTTCAGCACCCCTATGCGAGGACAGCTGAGCCGTTCCATAAGCCCTTGGGTGTGTGGATGATACGCTGCACCGTACCGTTTATTGATACCGAGCGTCTGGTAAAAGTACTGTACCACGTCCGACGTGAAGGTCGAGCCGCTGTCGCTTAACAGCCGGGACGGAAGCCCGTGTCGAGCGACGACGCCATTCACCATCACATCTACAAAAGTCACAGAGTCTAGCCGTTTCACCGCGAACGCCTCGGCCCACCTTATAAAGTAGTCTACGAAAACCTGAATATAACGGTTTCCACCTTCTGTCACAGGTAATGGTCCGATATCATCCACGACTAGCAAGTCGAACGTCCCCTCAGTCCAACCACTGGCATCCTTTGCATTACTCCTCCGCTCCACGGTCGAGAACCTTTCCCACTGCCACCCTTATTGCATTCTGACAAACACTTAGTCACATCCTTACGCCAGCCAGGTCAGTATGCCTGTCGTCTAACCTTTTCCGTCGTTTTAGTCAATCCTAAATGAGACGACATGATATCCGCGTTACCGAGTGAAGGATTATCGCAACATAAGAAGGAGGTACCACTAGCACCGCAATAGTACGGGCCGACTCGCGCTGGTAAGTTGACAAACCGACGCAACAGACCGTCCTACATCACATACCAAAACTTCATCCGCACTACGCGAGCTCGAAGGAAAGGATCTAACGGAAGAGCACCATCCAACAGGAACGTTACTAGCGCTTTCATCCGAGACACAGACTTCTGTTCATTCTTAAACTGCTCGACGTCTTTCCGTAGGAGACTCGGGAACCACTTCGGCGGGCTCGCTCTTCTTGTCTTTTGAATCCGTTCCCGTCACTGGATTCTCCGGTTCCGTCCCTAACCCAAGCTCCGCGGGACTTTCGACCGGATCCCCGACTGAGCTTAGGCCATTTAAGCTCTCTTTCGTTGGGTTTAGAAGGTCGGTCATGCGTAATACGTTCAATTGCTTCGGCTCCAGGCGCGACAGACCGGCTACATGCCCCATCACCGTCCAGGCTTGGGCTGTACTTTAAACGGTAGATTGGACAATTCCATGGCCCACCGTGCCAATTTCGCGTTCGTAGTACGGTTTCCAGGTCTAAAGATTAGCAGGTTAGAGCCGAATGATCAGTGTACAAGTCGAACTCTCTCTTGTCCAAGTAACATCGACACTTTCTTGTCGATCATACAACTCCCCAGCACTCGGTCACCGAGATTCCATCTTGCTTGTTGATCCAGTTCTTCTGAGACCCTGTCAACAATTTACTAGCGTACGCCACTACACGGTCTCGACCGTCTACTTCCTGCATCATGACGGCTCGGACGGCGTATCGCGACGATTCGACGTAAAGAATGAAACGTCTCTTGTAATCCGGGTAGACTAAAAGCGGAGGCTTCATCAACCCTCGCTTGAGCTGGCGAAATACCACCTATTCCACGCAAATGGAGCATCTTTAACCTTTAACTCTTCCAGGGGCGCCGAAATCGAGGCGGTTTCCTGTAACGACGGAAATAGCAAATTGTCACTAATGCCGTGCAGCAAAACTGTCGCGAGGAAGAGACGCAGAGAGAAGAAGAGAAATTTGGATTGAACAAGAATTGGTAATTGAGTCTATCGACGATGGTCGAGAGAGAAGTGTTTCGTGATGAAGAAGAAGAGAGAGTCTTCGACCGCTGTTTCGAAGGTGGCGTGGAGGAGCAGCTTGTGTC